TAAGTTAAACTCTATTCTATACTTCTTAAGTTAAACTCTATTCTATACTTCCTTCAAGATTCTATAACTGGTATAATATTTTTCCTTTCTTTTTTTTAACAAAAAAATTAACATCATTCAAGGATATTCAATTATGGCTAAACCTCTACTGTCCATTTTATCTAACAGTAAGATGAAAATGAAAGGATTAAGAATGCTTTGACAGTTTAAAACTCAGTTTTGAGATCTAAATAAATATAATCTTTAAATTTCATAATTCAGAAAAGAGATCAGATCTTTGATATATTCAAATATATCAAGTGTCAAACCATAACTTTAAGAATTAAGAAACAAAACAAAGTAGCTACCTTGGGAAAAAAATTGCATGTTGCTATATGTAAAGTTGAGTTCTTTCTCCTTCATAAACACCAAAAAAGAGTAAGCAAATTTTAGTTTCACATCTTCATTGTTGATGATGTTTATATTTAAATGTTGCTTCCAAGAAAAAACAGGTAATACATTTGTTGGATCTGTATTCAGCCTGCAAAATGTTGAGGGAAAAAAGTTCAATTTGGTAGATTTAAAAGCCCAATCATTTATTAACAGAGCAAAATCATTTACTAGAGTAGACATGCACAAAGTTCCATATCATATCTTTCCTTGTGAAAGGAAGGTTGATATTTGATAATGACCAACACAGTCCCTAAATGTACATGAGAAAGGGAGGAATAAAAAAAGAAAAGAAGATCAAGGAATTTAACTGAGAAGGTTCAATGAGAGAAAGAGAGGAGAAATTAGGTTCGACATGAGTAAATGAAACAACACGTGTCTTCACTGCTACAAACATACAATAGATATTTCTGAAAGGGCATTAGTATACAGGACTTTTCAGATTTCCTCCATACAAAGTTATAGGCTTTTAATAGAAGAATACTTGAACTAAAGTAATAAATAAAAAAAATGTAAATAAATCAAGGATTTTACTCCCTCAATGGTAGATGCTTGAACATTTTAAATAAACAAATTCTTTTACCGTCTCACCCTTGAGTTTATAAACTCTATTATCAATGATAACGCAGACATAATATCTCTCTCAATAGACAACAAAACAGATGAAAAAAAAAAGATAAATCTCTGAACAGTGAAAAGGGAAACGATCAAGTTAGAAGATAAACTTACTGATGAAGGAAAGAGAAAGGCATAAGAAAAACAGGATCTAACCTCTATTGCTGAAATCCTGTCCATTTCACCTTTAAACACAACTTTAGTAGAATAATCTTTGAGCATTTTAGAAAATCATTTGATGTCTCAATAATCATATCTAGCTAGCCTCTTCATTTTACTATGATAAAATATGAGAAACAAATTTTAAGCTCAAAGACAAAATCTAATGCTAAGAGCTCCTAAATTTAAGTGCAAATAGTGAACATCTTAGAAAAGATAACTATCAGTGAAGTAAGTAAAAACTTACTGCATTTAAAAGTATGTATTGACAATACAACCAACTCTTGAAATGATTACTATTTTTATTTATCAATCAACAACGTATCTGGTACATCGGAAACATTGGAGATCAATGAAATTTCTGTATTTGCCTTTAAGTTTAATATCATAAGTGCAATTGTTCAAAAAAAATAATAAAAGAACCGCCATTCACCCAAAAATAGAAGGACATAAGAACTGTAGTCATAGAGAAAGGAGAACAAAAGAGGAGGCATAAACTGACGACAACTCATCCAAACCATCCCACAATGAGCCAATGTAATGGAGTTGGCAAGAATTACCTTAGAAGAGGAGAAAATGTGTACGTACTCGCAACCCAATGCCATTTGTTGGTCGTCAAAAGTCATTAATCCTGCAAAAATCAAGTAAAATCATCGAGATATAGTAACGGGATCCAAGTTTTCAACAATCAATAGAACGGAGCTCAGCGTCACAGTTGTGTTATACTGAGAACATATGAAAAGATTATAGAAATGAAGAAGTGGAGACAGAACACTAATTTTTCAAACAAATTTTGATCTTACTACTGTCAACAGAGAGAAAAGGAGAAAAATTAGAAAGCAAAAATTGATATCCTAATAAATAGAATAACATAATCATGTTAACGGGCAAATGTATATAGAACTGGACAACCAAGAATTAATAAATTCAAATATTAAAATTATATAAAATCAAATGATCCTATAAAGGAATCCTTGACAATTATCAAAGTGAGAGCCTATAACATCAACCCCAATAAATTAGGGTAGGCTTCAGAATCTTACGGATCATGTTACTCCATTGAACATCCAATTCCCTAACTTATATAATCCACATGCACTGAAATTGTTCACTTGTATAATTTTGAACAATTTCACTCTTAAACCCCTAACTTCTATAAACTGTTGTGGGGTGGAATTTGTGTGCATATATTAATTTTTTGATTGCTTGGTAGTGATATGGGAGGAGAATTTCGCTCTAAACCCAATTTTCAAACTTTGAATAAAAATTTCAAACTCCTACACAAAAATATAAAGTGAAAGCATAAGGACATAAATAAACAAACAAAAGAAAGAGTGGCAACATAACACACCATCAATAAAAAAAATTATACACTTAAAAGAGTGCAGAACATAAAAAAGGCATATAGCACTATATATGGACCCGAGATCCGACACTGAAGTTTAGAAACTATAAAAGCAGTAAAGCACAAAGAAAAGGAACCTACTCATAGTATAAAGCTCACCGGGCAAATTAACAATGGAGGAACTTGCATTAACAATGTTGGGTTTTCTGCTCTTGTGTTTTTGTGTTGAAGCATAGTACAGGAAGTACAAGGACCCAAAACAACCCTTGAATATTAGAATCAGGGACTTGATGAATATAATAAGCCTTAAAGAGATAATAGGTCATATTAGCCAGATTGAGAAACATGTAGATTTACCTTAAATCATGAAGAAATATTTCGGCAAGGCATCCCAAACAAACAAAAATCTTGAGGAAACCTTCACAGAGAGATTTAAAGTGTCTACACAAAGAGAAGACACTCAGCAACACATGGATTCGCCATTGAAGAGTTGAGATCTACAAAGAAGAGTTGAGAAAATAGACCAAGCTTAGCAGAGGAAGAGAGAGAAATCTATAGAGAATTGTGAGATAATAGTGCAAAACTTGTACACAAAGTGAAGCAAAATGAGACACGTGTTTATTCATCACTGAAAAAGGGCCAAATTTACTGTACAATTAGTACTACCTTTAGTACAATTAGAAGATGCAGTGTTCGTCCTTTTACTCCCATCCTCCTTTAGCCTTCTTTTGTATAAGTTAGATAGTATTTCGTACAATTTGCTGAAGTCAGAGTCTAAATGATTATATGTATGTTGAAAATGTGAATACTGAACCGAAATGCTATAGATGAAAGAGTGATTTTACTTGATACAGATTTTTCAAATCCTCTCGCAATGTGATTCATCCCAACCTTATAACCCAAGAAGGAAGTCAAATTGCTGGGTTTGGTTCTATCATCCTTAGGCGTCGAAAAAAAGAAAAAAAATAGATGACGGATAAGGGAAGACTTAAAATATTTACTAAAGAGTAAAAGGTGCAGAAGTTGTAGAGAAGCTAAATCTCCAAACAAAAGAGTAGAAGGTTGCAAATGGTAAATTTTGTATTTATGCAGCTTCTGGTAACTATAAGATCTTGGAACATATTAGAGAACATACATATGTTAAAATGTGATAAATTCAAGAACGGAATCCTACTCTAGCTTATTGTCTTCTTTAATATTGTCTCGTATGAGTACAAAGAAACTTATGCTATCAAATAGTTTCTGGTCAATAGGTTAACCCTCGATGTACGTGCTTAATGACCTTTATTGATTCATAATTGGAGAAAGAATGTGCAATTCACTCATGAATGTTCTCTTTGTATACGAATCCTTGGCAACAATTGTTTGGCATATGGAGGATGCAAGAAAGCTATCCTTATGATTCATTACTCTCTAATACTATCTCATGAATTAAAACAGATTCATATAATGAAAGATCAATTCAATCAAAATAATGTACACTTAATAAATCAATAACAGACACAAAGATAGACAATCATCAATCACTTAATCACTGGAAGGGTCTAATAAGGCCACAATTAAAAGATGGAAGTATTTCGTGAATCAAATTTGACAAATTTTACTCCAAAAGATAGATCTCATATCTTCCGTCAAAGTCGAAGCCTTAAAAGATTTTGAAAAAATCTCACCTTTGGAGCATGATCAAGATTCAGGTTCAAATCTAAAGTTCACAGATATAGTTACATATCTTTTAACAACTACAAGTTCAAATTAATCCTGCAGTGTAGCACTTTAAGATATTATTAGGTGAAAAACAGAGCCCTATCCAAAAATAAAAAGATTTATACTATTTCATGATATCAAGTACCAAATATGAAAAAGGTATCAAGTAGCACACTTCTAAGTTAGTCTTGAAAGATTAAAAAACAAAGAAAAAAGGAGCAAATTTCACCTCGTACCTTTGCATGTTGTTAGAACCACGCAAGTACCAAACTTTGTCAACAATCTGCAAAATTTGCATAGTTGCAAGTGCAAACCTGCAAAGAGAATGGAAAATATGAAAAGAACTTGAAAAGGCAAAAGAATATCACAACACGCAAGAGGAAAAAGAAACAATTCTTGTTCTAGAGGTCGGCACAATTCTGACAGAAACTTAAAATTTGGTACTCAGTTTTCGGAAAATTTCTTGCGACTGCAACTGCGATTTGTTCAAAATTTTCAGAAAAATAAACAGACGAAAAAAAGGAAAATGCGAACAACTCCTCGACGAAGCTTCTTCGAGACTAATTTGACGGAAGAAAAGAGAGAAGGATAAGGAAGAGAAGCCTCAAGAAATTTGGGGACTGTAAGTGAAAACCAATTGTCTCCCACAAAGGTAAGATGCTATTACGTGTCTGTCAAAAAGTGGAAAATTGGAGGGCATTGAACTAAAATACATACACGTGGCATTAAACTCAAAATAGGCCCAAGTTTATTGTACAATTTATGCTACTTTTAGTACAACTGCATATAGCAGTGTTCGTACACCCTCAAGTGCCTATTCTAATAAAGAGTAATAATAATAACAATAATAATAATAACAATAGAAAATATAAGGTATCCCTAGTACAAGTAGTAGTACAATACTATTAATTATATGTCTTTAATTTTATAAAACTAATTAAATAGATTCCATAGGTCAATATCAACTGAAAAGTCATCCCAACCAACATTTTCTCCATGTTGCATGGTTGTTGAATTATGTTCCTCATACAACAAATTTGGTAACAACTTATTTTCTTCCTCAAAACTCAATACTGCTGCTGCTTCTTCCTCAAATTCTTTCCAATTTTCCAATAAGTCTGTCCACCATTTAACTCCGTCTCCGTCATCGTCTATAGACGATGAGGTTGTTTCTCTTGTTGGCTTCTCACAAATATTTACTACGATTTCTTTGTTGCGTTGTTCGTCATCTTTGTCTAATGTGTTTGTGATCATACTATTGTTAGTGCACCAAGAAATATTATTTGCACTTGAGACGGTTCGAGGTCGAGGTCCTGGTCGTAGTATAGTACTTTCGGTGATCTTGAGGGTATTATTGTACTTATTCTCTTGTATCTGAGGAGGAGTTATTAACTTCTTGTGTAGGTGTGTGTTCCAATAGTTTTTCACATCGTTTGCTGTTCTTCCTGGAAGTCTCCCAGCAATAAGTGACCATCTAAACCAAAAAAATATGGCATCAAAAACAAATTACTATAATATTCGGGAGAGTAGTATATATGTAGATTTACATGTCAAAAAATTACTTTTTATGAATATATATTTATAATTATTCTTCAATATTTTTAATGATATTTCTGACTTGCCTGTTGCCTAGAAGCTTATGAAGTCTCAAAATGAGATCTATTTCATCCGGAGCAAAGTCACCTCTCTTGATATGTGGCCTTAGATAATTCAACCACCTTAGTCTACAACTCTTGCGACATCTATTTAGACCTGCATATATTTGTATGGAATAGTAAGTGGGGATTTCTGGGTTCGAACGAACCCAGTAGTTTTTCCATAGATATTGTATATGGACTAAAAAATTAAACAAATATATATGTATATTAACTTGTAAACTCCTAACAAAATTGATTGATATAAAAAAAAAAGGCATGAAAATGCTATTCATACTAGAGTTGTAGGTTCAGACGCCACTATCACAACAAAATGTTAAGTTTCTCTTTTCTTAAAAAGGAAATTTAGTACAATCTAATAGATTTTGTCTAAATAGTACTTTTGCATTAATAAATTATTAAATATCTACATAAATTTAAAACTCAATTATATAAACTTTAAAGTTCATAAAATTAAAATCCTAATTTCGCTCGATAATTGGTTTACCAGCTCTAGAAGGAACAAGATGCCACTTTCCTTCTCCATACTTGCCAATACATTTCGTTAAAAGAATATCTTCTTCTTTAGTCCATGAACCTTTTCTCACTCCCAATGACTTGGCAATGTTCATGATATGTTGTCACAACTACTGCAAATAATTCCAAAACCAAAAACAATGATTGAGTTTAAGGGTCCACTCGAGATTACAATAATTTTGAATTTTATAATAACGATTTAAGTAATAGTAATTTACTATTTGTACATATTAACATATTTATTAACATAAATACTGCATATGTGCTAATAACTCCTTCCTAAATCCAAAACACTTTAAATTTTTATGATCATAAATATTAAATTATGATCTTAAAAATGTGACGTGAAAGAATTACCTAACTAGACTAATAGGAGGAAATAAATTAAAGTTAAAACAAGGGAAATAATACTAAAACACAACTATATAGAAAAAGACCTTTCAGAAGCTCTTTGGTTTGGTGGTGCTTTTATTTTTGCCCTTTCCACAATTTTGTTATACAAAATGAGTGTGTATCTATCGATCTATATAGAGATTAGGAATAATAGTAAAGTATAGAAGGGACGTGGATGGATTGTAACCAATCACTAATGTGCCATAGTGTTTCTTAATGGTTCCTCTGATTTCGCAAAATAGATAATAATATAATGTCATAAATTAGATAGTAGATATGAGCTATTATATGTTATTTTAATATATTTACTTTTAAAAAAAAAAATTGAAGTTGAAGATGGAGTGTGTGTGATTATAATTTTAACGAATAATATTTAATTGTTTGAATATACTTTTTTTTTAAAATAATGAATCATATTTAAACATTAAATATAATTTGAATGAAATATTTTTTTATGTAAAAAAAGATAAAAATGAAAAAGAAAAAGAAGAGTTTTTAGATGTTTTTCAGATTTCAAACTAAGTTCAAGTTGCATTTGAATTTGGGCGAAATAATGATTTTAAAATGAAGTGAAAAAATAAACTAAGAAAACTTGAAAACTCACATGATAAGATGGCCCCTTAATGTATCACGTAATTTTAGTTTGTAATTATATGTTTTAAAAGTTTTTTTATTTCTCTAAATTTTATGTTTAATCAAACTACAACACTTAAATTGAAATGGGAATATTTGGTAACTTTTTTATTATTATTTTGCATTAAACTAAATGAAGGAATTAAAAACCAATACAAAAAAGTATTCTTTCTTTTTGAATTTATATTTGATAAATATTTTTTTAATTCTCACAACATTTTATATGACTTGAAAAATATAATTTTAAAAATATTTTTATATATTACATATATCTTTAATTTAAAGTGTCAATCTAATCAACAAAAAAAAATCCAGGAAGAGAGTTCCTTCACCACGTGGTGAAAGGCAGCGCGACAAGGAGGTTTCAATTAAGTTATTTACATTGATAGTATAACAAATATTTTTAAAAAATATAAATTAATATTCTAATTAAAAAATAATAATAAATAAATCATTACATTACTATTATATAAAAGTGTCTTAGAAATAAATCTCTCTCTGAGTCATTATAGAAGTAGCTAGAAGCAGACATTTTTTTTATTGACATGTTTATTTCTAGCTTTAGAGTATTTATGAAATTTTTGTATTTTTTTATTTTATCTTATTTATCTTTTTTTTAGTTGATATATATTTTTTAAATATTACGTAAATAATATTATAAGTAAGTCACAATAATTAGCAACATAAAATATTTAATTATTAAAAAAATCAGTTGACTCTCGAGTTTTTATCGATGACACATAAAATGAGATTGAGGAAATAAAAAATATTATTTAAAATTGACGTAAAATGTAGTATAATTTCTAATAATTGATAACTCAAAATATTTGAAAAGATATATAAAAAATTCTATTGATTCTTGAATTTTTGTCGGTGCCACATAAAATGAAACTGAGAAAAATAACTTATATTATTTAAAAAATAACATAAAAAATAGTATAACTATGAAAAGAAAAATTAAGATCACTCATAAGTTATACTTACTACTAATTAAAAAGGTGCAAAAACTTTATTTCTTTGATTGCATTTTTCTATATAAGCAACTAGTTGTATGCATTTATGCGATCTTTATTTGTCAAAAAAATCAACATTTTTATTTGTCTCTCTTTAAATATGTATAATTCACGTTGTTGACTTTCAACGATAACTTTAATAAGATTTCCTATTAATATAAGAGATATAGAGGAAAAAGAAGAAAGATTCACACAATTATAACGAGGGAGAGAGAGGGCGAGAAGAGTGTGGAAAGCGAGAGGGAGGAGAGTGATTAGTGAGAGAGGAGAATTGAAATGTTAAGTATAGTTATGTTAGATAATTTTTAAAAAAGTATTGCTCGATTATGTATATATGGTAGTTATATTTTTGTTTAGTTATATAAGTTTATGCATTAAAACAATATTTAAAAGATATAAATTTTCAAAAAAGTCCTGTCTATTTTGGAGGTTATTTTTGTTGTTGATTTTTTTTTAGTAGTATTAAGTGTTTAATCTTCTCCGGGTGGATTTTTTTTTTTCATATATTAGTCTATATTCTATTGTTGTGAGTAGGGGTGTGCATTCAATTTTTCGGTTTTTGGTTTTGAAGAAGTGTAACCCAATTCGAACCAAAATAAATTTAGTTTGGTTTGGGTTTTTTCGATTTAGTTAATCGGTTATGTCAATAATTAGAAACATAACAAAGTTATATTTGCATTTATATATATATATATATATATATATATATATATATATATATTGAATTTCTTAAATATACTTTTTAATATAAATCACAAACAAAACGTAAAACACAATACTTAAAAGTATATCAATAATAGATATCCAAACATAAAAAAAAAAAAACTAAATCATAATGAAAATAACTAAAAAGGGACAAAAGTGGTTAACTCCAACTTAATTCTAAACATATAATATATATATATATATATATATATATATATATAATATAATTCGGTTTTTTCGATTTTCATTTTTTTAAATTCGAAATCAAACCAAAAAACCAAACAAAGTAAATTATAAATTTAAAACAAAATCAAAAATCCAAAAAATCAATCTGAATTAGAATTCAGTTTGGTTTTTCGGTTTAATCCAAATAGTGTACACCCTTAATTGTGAGTGATAGTGTCATCACATACAATCTCATAAGTTGATTTGATCCTAAATTTAGCATTAGCAGTATCAATTTATGTTCTGAATCAATAAAGACAATATGAACAGAAAAAATTAAAGGAGAGATAAAATAGTAATTTTGACAGGTGGGTAAAAAATTGACAGAAGAAAGATATCATCCACTCTCGAGATTCATATTGATCAATAGATCTCCGCGTCCTGCCAGTTCGCTAAGTAGACTCAAGTTCTATCCGATAAAATATGGAAGACTTTAGTAGATTGTTTGGTAAACATCAAATATAACAACACCATCAATCAGAGCAGAAGTTAATCAATCTTTTGTGATTCAAATTTTATTATATATTATTTGAGTTCATTATCTATCCGTCTAAATCAAATTTTGTCAATATTATTAAAGTTGTCTCTTTACACTTACAAATTGAAGGAAATATGAATACCCAATGAAATAATTATGAATATAAGTGAAAGATTCAATCATAACTAATTTAATTTAGTCTTAAACTTACTACAAAGTTATTGTGTCAATCATTGCCGGCTCTAATGTGTGAACAAAGATAATTATAGGTGTCTTTAGGTTTTCAAATTTGAGGTGGTCTTATTTTATTTTTATTACCAATAGTAGGTTAGATGTTTGAAAAAATAATGAATACTATCGGTAAAAATCAATCTTTTCATATAAAAGAAGAGAATTATTAGAAGAATTCTGACACATTTAAAGTATTATGTCTTAATAAAAATTAAGTGTATTGATTATATTATCAATTAAAAAAATTATCAGAAAAAATTAATTATAATTATTAACAATATTAATCTTAAATTTTTTGTAAAATAGTATATTTTGGGAGGAGGTTATGGATTTATGCTTTTTTTCTCCCTAAGATGTTTCATAATCTGACAAGACAAGTGTCATGGACTTAGAGTCTTACTAACGTTTCGTGCGGCACTTGACAACTTACTCACTACTCTTTCAAGATCTTGTAAGCTCAAGTAAAACCTTTAAGACTAATATCGCTAAGAGAATGCAAAGAAAGACTTAGAAAGATTTAGAGAGCTTTTGGGAATAAGACTTTTGTATTGCTTGAAAGAATGCTTTACAACTTGAGTGATGCCTAGCAAGTGAATGCCCCCTCTATTTATACTACAACCTAGGGGCTAAAGTGCAACTAATAATTATTTTACAAGTCCCTAAAGTATTTACACTTTGGTCTCTCTCTAGAATTCTCTACACATTCTAGGATAATCCAAAGCCTTCTTGAAATATCTAAGGGATTCTAGAGGTCTCCATAAGCCTCTCCATAACTCTAGATTCTTCCGCCCCTGTCCGAATGCAAAATTTGACTGGCAAAATGGCGGGACATGACACAAGGGTGCCTAGTAGTCAAACGTATAGTAAAAAGCTAATCATCAAATTCATGTGTCAATTTTTATTTTATTGACAATGATATTTTCATGTTTTTTTGAAATATTTTATTACTGAAGTCTATTATATAATTTTATAAATTTTATATCTGAATTTATAATTAGTATTTTTAAAAATAAATCTTAAAATTTGAAACGTACGATATAAAGACAATCATCAACACCCATTAAAGATTTTATGAGTCAAACCTTGTTTTGTTTAAATTTTTTAACAAAAGCTATTTTCTATAGTAGATAATTAGCAAGTGAAAAAGGTAAAAAGGAGTCGAAATTTATTAGGACTTTATTTAGCACAAAGTAAAAATAAAATGCAGATTTTAATGATTTTATATAGGACCTTATTATATTGTCCATCTTCCTTTGTTACTGTAATCATGTTACTCGTTATAATAGTATTTTACTATAATGACTATTTTTCTTTGGAACTGATTATTTTAATATTTTATCTATAATAATAATGGTGTTTATTATCGAAGAACACTCTTCATGAATTACCTCTTTGTAAGAGATTTTTATTTTTATATATATCTAAGAGATGCAAAAATAACATACAAATTAGATTTTTGCAAAAATTTTTTCTTTTATTCAAGTTGTAAGAAATTACGTCCATACATTTCTTCATCTAATAATTTGCACCTAATTTCAAAGTTAAGCACATCTTAATGATAACAGTACAAAACCCCTCCATCTTTTGAAAATGAAGGTTATATTTCCTAATAGGTATATAATAACTTTTTCATTAAATTGAAATTTGGTTGATGGATAAATTAGTTTGAATTGTCCACACATTTTGGCTCACATTATCACAAATAGAGGTCTTTCACTGTGAACTGTATGTTATAAAAAATGATTTTTTGTCACTTTATTTTCAAATCAATGGACTTGAATTGTCCACACATTTTAGCTCACCTTATCGGAAATAA